CAGCACTGAAGAGGGGAGAAGGTTGAGCTGGTGCCTGAAGTGGCCCTGTCACAGCCTGTGGAGGTCCTGGGCAGTGCTCAGACACTGCCCCGGGCTGTGGAACAGCTCCTGGGAATTTGGTACAGACTGAGGAACAGATGAAGATGGAGTTCTACAGAGCCATGGACTGGCACTGATCTGATGTATACATTTGACTTTAATGTCTTCAGAAGAAGTCAGACTTTTTCAATTTTTTAAAAACTTTTTTCAAAGTGCCATCTAAGATTCATAGGACACAAGTCTTCCTGGATATTCAGACTCCTTTTCCATCCTTCTACTAGGTTCTTTTCCCTTGTTTGTTCTCAAATATTTCATTTATAGCTTTCTCATCTTTTTGTAGTACTAGATGTTTACATAGTTAGAAAAACGATTACAATGATTGTTTTGTGTAAGCGTTTGATATTTCTCCTACTTAGACTACGTGATATGCTGCTGCTGTTTCCTAGAAAATGACTGTGGTCAGATTGTCATCTCATCTGTTCTGGGCAGTGAGATACTGTTGAAACACTGTTCTTGTGTGTCTGGGTGGGGTGGCCCTTTTCACTACTGCAAGACTTTTTTTTTGGCCCCTTGACTGCCACATGACAGAGCAAGCAGTAGATAAAGAGCTGTATTGTTCACAGTGAGGATCATCTTGGATKTGGTACTCAACAGTTGTAACAACTTATTACACAAAGCAAAAATCTGGATAAGCAAAGTGCCCATAGTTTTTGCATATCCAAAACAAGTTAGCTTCTGATATTTGTCCTTTATGTAAATATCCATGGTTTTAGTGAAAAGAACAGTAAATCTAGTTTTATATTTAACTTGAAGAGCTGTAGATATTTCTGGTCCTGTAAAATGCACCTGTGTTTAGAAGAGGTGGTGTAAAAGAAACTTATTTCTTAAGGAAAATTACTTTTTAATGTATGAGTGATCCTCCCCTCTGACTTTTTGCCATCTGTTTGGGATGATAGCATACTGATTTCATCCTGAGAGAACTCTGACCRCATTTCAGGGATTGCTGACATCATTTCAGCTTTTCTAAAGAATTCTCCAAAGATGAGATTTTCTTGGTGATCAGAATAAATACTATGAGAGATAACAGGGCATCAATATTTTCCTCTAACATCACATTATATATGTGTTTATATTTACCACTTTCTTTACWGCTACTCTTGCTTGTGTTTTATTAGTATTCTTCTGGATTATACATCAAGATAAAACATTGGATGTTGCATTGGATTTTATGCTGATGTTCTTTTAACAACAGGAAAACAGACCTCAAAGGATGAGTGATAGGGGATTTGTGGTGAGTTCACCAGTAAAGGATTTAATGATGTAGTGTGAGTTTTCATAATTGCTGCATTCTTCAAAAAGTTGGTTTTAGAACTTATCTGACACAGATAAACGTTGAGTGTTGATGACAATCCAAGTGKATTTGGTACTTTTTAATGTCTAAGTCTTTTGCTGATATGATAAATTATTTTCAAAGGCGAGTTCATTTTAGTCCATGTCTCATTTTTTGCAGTGCTCCAGACAGGCTCTTTTTCTCTGAGTGTGTTCTTGGRCAGCTCTTAATTTCAGGAAAACCTTACAAACCCTTTTTCATGCTTCTTTGTCCTATGTATCTCCTTGGCTGGCACTCTTTAATGTCAGATATTTGCACCTTCTGTGTTTAATTCTTGTACATGTGCAAGGTAATGGCTCAGCACAGGTAAAATTGATTKCAGCAGCTCTTGCAGCAGTGCTGTGAAGTGTTTGCAACTGGGTGATCCTGGGCTCTCAGTGATGTCCTGAAGCTGTCACGATGGATTTGWACTTGGCACAAGATAGTGTTGCCTGTCTTCTCAGGAAAATGTGTGGGTGGTTTAGTGAGAGAACATAGCCCCAGTTTGTGACCACATATTCTGAAGTCACACTGATCCTTTAGCCTAAAGAATAAGTCTGTAACTCTTGGGGATGTTCTGAATGCCWGGGTTTTGTTAACTGGTACTATGAGGCGTTCCAGTGGTTCTGCTGGTGGCTGACACTTGCTAGAAGTGTTGCCTGTATTTTGTTTTTTCCATACTAGTTTTGTACTTTCTCTGTATAGTTCAGGACACATGGTTCTAGTTCTGTGTTTTGGCTGGGGGGACAAGAATGAGTGGGGGGGAAATTAGCAATGATTTTAAGAACTCACATAAAAGTATCTGTAGCTTACTGTTGACTGTCATCTGTGTTTAAACCATTTTAGAAGAAACAGTCTACTTCTAGTAGCCCTTTTTCCCCTCCTTTTTGTTTGTTTTTTCCTTTTTTTCCTTTCCCAGTGGTCTCATTCATTAAATGATGAGAGATGCTTTTGTTGGGGGTGAGAGGAAAGCTAGGAGGTGTCTTGGCTTCTGGTATAAGGCTGTTAGCACCAGAGCAAAGTCTTCTGTCTGCCTAGACATGGCAAGACCTTTAAAAACCAAAACAGCAGCACCCAGTTGAGTAATCTTGTTGTTGGGCTGCTTCTTTGGGTACATTATATCAACAAACACCAAATGTTTAAAAATGTTAAATTTTCTTGTTCTGCAGATGTCTTACTCATTTGTGTTCCAGTTATTTCCATTAATACAAGCAGCAGAGTCAGAACTGCTGGTATATTAAAATGTCAGTTCAGCAGTTTACRATAGAGAGAGTGAATGTGTGCACACACATCTATGAAATTTTCAGGTTAAAGTTTTAAGAAAATTTACACTTTACATGTGGAGGTTTGAATGCTTTCTGTGAGTGCTAGCTGTGACATAGAAAAGCATTTTGTTTTTGGCTTTGCTGCTGTGAAATTCAGTCATCGATTGGACACTTGAGTAACCAAGGTTAAGTACTGGTTTAATTGCTTCCTTCTTTTGTATGCAAAGTTGTTGTTACTGTGACRGTGGGCAGGAATAGCTATGAGGTGAACAGCCTGAAATAGCCTTTTATTATTATTTTAATTGTTGTTTTTTTCCTTTAGCTGGAAGTTGTTTCAAATGTCTCTGGTGTTGTTGCTCCCAGTCCAGATGGCTTTTTGCCTTTGTTTCAGTTCCTAGATGTGATATTGTTAGTCACTAGTGCCACCACACGTGTCACAGTTGGGGCCATGATTCATCCTCAGAGCTGTGGGTTGGCAATCTTGTGTTTCTCAGGATAAAAACTGGTTCTGTCTTGGCCCCGGTGATGTCAGCTCTTGGGGCAGAAACAGGGTGCTGCCTGCAAAACACACTGACCTGCTTCCTTGAGGAAGGAAATGTTAAGTAAGTGCCTGAAAGCAAGAATAGCTCCCCAGCGTGCCCACACTGGCGTGATGGCTGCTCTTCCCTTTTTAATTGAAAATGCAAATGGAATTTTAAAAGATTCTGGTGTCTGTGTTGGAAATTTCTAATTATAAACCAATAACTTAGAAGAACTTTATAACTCTCTGTGTTGTGTCTGGGCTGCAGGATATGGAGCAGCATTTTTGAGTCTTRCTTCTTTGAACATTTTAAACTCTCATTGATGCACTAAAGTGGTTTCAGCAATTGCAACTGTGAAAAACATCTGAAAGAGGATGAAAATAGAAATTAAATTAATAGAAATTGAATTAAAACAGGAATAAATTTTTAACCAAGTAACTACATAGAACAGATTTCCTTGCTGAGGTASCTCCCCACATAATAATTTGTAGAGGAAACAGCTCTTTATTTTAGCCTGATGACTACAGTAAATAAATGAAAATATACTATATGTGCATCCAAATACACAAAATTTATAGCATTATTATTTTTCGCTGACTGCTAATTTTGGTTACAACAGAATTGCAGCCAGGATTTTATGGGTACARGTAACTGGATGGAGGAAAAGGAATAGTATCCCATTAACATAGTAGCTTGTGGAAAATACACTGATTGGTTATCAGGAACATTCTATTTTTTTTTTTTGTTTGTTTGTTTGGGGGGATGATTTTTTGGGTTTTTTGTTGGTTGGGGTGACTTGTCTTTATTGAAGTGCTTTACAACAGTGTTTGCAATGCTTGCCATCCCTTTGGCAGCTGAAGAGCATGATCTGGATGAGGAGGAAGGTAAATACTTCAGTGAGTCATGGTTGAAGGGAAAACTCAGCTTTAGAGCGTGGTAATTAAAAAAAAAAAAAGAAATAAAGACGACTTGGAAGGTTAGAAAAACTGGTGATAGCATTAAAAGTGAATAAAAATGTCCTGAAATACAAAAGACAAGCAGTCAGCCAGTGTAGTGARCTGAAGGAGATCACAGACAGCATTTCCTCCTACCCTGCAGTGGATCTTGTTCACTCACTGGGTGGAGTTCATAGAGGATGATTGTTCTSTAAGGGTGAAAACAAATTGAGATAAGTGTCTTTAGAGGAAAATGTCACTTTCTAGTAGAGTTGAAGGTGTTTTTCCTGCTATTAATACTGACTTTCAGGTTGAATATATCCCTGGCCWCATTAGTGAACAACTAACAGGAAATTTGCAAAAAAATAAAAWAATGAAACTGCTCATGAGTTTTCATGTGAAATATTTCTTCATCCAAGAAGTTTACTTTGGTTCCGTTTTACACAGGTAAAGTTTTAGCAAGAGCCTGAAATGAATTCCTAACTTTGTTTCAGCTAACCTCTAATTAGTTTTTTCTCTTATTACTTTATTTTAATGATATAAACATCTCAACAATAATTTGCTTTGCCAAGCAAATACTTTCATTATATTAAATAACATTAATGAGTGAAACTATGCTTATGTGTTTGCAATACTGGTATTTGAGACCCCAGAGTTGTAAGCTGAGCTGTACTAAGCAGGCTTATGTAAACTTTCCAAAGACTTTAAAATGTGTGTCTAATTATAGAAGGTTAAGTATACTGAATTTTAGATTTTTTTTTTCCCCTAAGGCCATGTGGTTATGATATTATTGAGATTCCATAATGCCTCCTGCCGTGACAGACAGCCTTGACATCTGGGCAGTGGATTCACAGATTGGTGCTGATGGCTCAATATCTGTGGACTTCCTGTTGCCCACTGGAATCTACATCAACCTGGATGTCCCTCGAGATGCCACCATATCTCAGATTAAACAGGTAATACCGAATGGGTGGTTGACTCATGTTTGGAATGAGTGCTGTTTCTGATTTTTACCTGCCCTCTGGCAAATTCAGTAATGAATTTTAGCAGGCAYGAAAATAAGGTACTGAGGGCACGTGCCCAGCAGATTGATTGATAAAGAAGTGTGAGTATGTGGGGGTTAGCACTGGGGTTTGGAAATGGGGCTTCTTGGTGACAGTTACAGTTCAGCAGAGATTATTCTAATAGCTCTATATGAATATTTTGCTACTCTAAACCTTTTTGTGACACATTGCTAATCCATTGTTTGCTGCTCTAACATTTCTCTGATTRGTGTGTCTGATTAGATTTTTAGTGTAGAAGTCACAGATCATGCTCTCGCTTCTGTTGACTGACACCAAAGATAATTGCTTTAAAAACGATGTCTGCCACTTCTTAAAGGTTTTATACAAATTGGAGCAACACTTAAAATGTGAGGGCATATCCAAATCAAAGGGAGGGGAGAATGTAAGGAAGTGACCACTGACACTACAAAAGGATCTACTGACCTTTGATCAGATAATGGCCATGTGAGGACATTTAGAAAAATTACTGAGTAATTAAATAGTGAATGAATTACAACACAGGGCCACCTACTCCTAATAGAATCAGTGATTTTAAGTGATAAAGAATTTTTAAAACAAATGTGTAARTGACAACAATAAGGGACTTGTTTTCTTGATGCTTGTGGTACATGGAAACCTAACAGTCTATAAAAAGGTGCTGTTGATATTTAGCTGTTTTCCCAAGAAAAGGAATGTCCATCTCAATTASAGAGGCGTGTCCTGGAAATCACTCAAGATAGAGACTACAGATGAAAAAAGTTAATACACAATGATACATAGAGATAAAAATGAACCAAGTTAGCAAACATGTTTCTTTTAAGTTTTTTTGAGAACATAAATGGAAATAAAAGTTACCTTCAGTGCCCTAAGATACATCCATGTGTTCTGTTTTGTTTAATTTATTTCTTTGTTTTCATTGCAGCTGTTATGGAAGCAGGCACATTCCTATCCACTCTTTCATCTCCTTATGGAGATTGACTCTTACATGTTCTCATGTGTGAATCAGACTGCTGTACATGARGAATTAGAGGATGAAACACGGAGACTCTGTGATGTTAGACCCTTTCTTCCTGTCCTCAAGCTAGTCACAAGGAACTGTGATCCAGGAGAAAAGTTGGATTCCAAAATAGGTGTCCTTATAGGCAAAGGTAATTCCAATTAATTTATTTTTTAAAATGAGGGTCAACTTTGTTGTGTATGAAGGTCTTAATTGGGCCGAAAGTAGTGGAATTTTATTTTTTTTTAATTATATTAAGAATTCACTATTTCCCTTTGTCAAACAAATACTGATGTAGTTGGAAAGAATTTAAATACTCAAGATGAAACACATGAAAGTTGCTTAAAGCTACTGTCTGTATTGCATTYCAGCATTGTATTGTATTACTACATCAAAATTTTATTTTGTTAATKAGGAGAAAATAGATATCATTATTATTACTAAGTGATGAAAAGCATAAATTTGAGCAGTGTTATCACAAGTAACCTACCAGCAAACTGGATATGCAGAAGGAACTAGAAATTATTATGATTTTATTATACATGGTGTCTGAATTGGTTAACAATGATTGTTGTTTTTGCTCTCAATTGTGACACTGATTTTCATCAAACAATGTAAAGCTATTTTAAAAGTTTCACAGTAACTTATTCTTGATGTTATTTCAGAATTTTCAGCTTTTAAATCTACTCTGCTTGGTTATACAATCAAGATTGACAGGGTCATATGAGGTCATACCTCTTGTTTTAAAACAATGAACCATTGTTAGCTCTCTTATAAAGACTGCAGGTTTTGTTTAGATTTCAGCAGTACACTGTCTGCCTATTTGTTAGAGCTGACAATGGGAACWGTTGGTCAGTTTAACCATTCAGACAGATTCTGACAGATTCGGAGAGATTCACATTCTGGGATTGAATATTTGCCATATTAGAGCGGTGTGAGACCCTGCCTTGTGCACCCCCTATTCTGTACCTTAGCAGTGAAAAAAAGAAAAAAAAAAAGTGTTCCTGTCTGAGCTTCTAAACTTAGTSCTTTATTCTCAAAAGGTGCTGGGTGCTTTGTGTGATTTGGACAATGTCCTTCAAAGTTTAGGGGAAAAGAGAAGGTACTTCAGGACATGTAGGGCCTGCARGTGTCTAAAAAGTCACAGCTTTCATTGTATCATAGAAAGATGGGATGGTTTGGGTTGAAAGGGACCTTTTAAAGGTCATCTCATTCCACCCTCCTGCTGTGGACAGGGACATGTTCAACTAGACCAGGCTGCTCAGAGCCTCGTCCAATCTGACCTTGAATGTGTCCAGAATGGGGCATCCACCACCTCCCTGGGCAACTGGTACCAGTTCTTCTTCACCCTCCTTGTAAAAAATTCCTGCTTTATCTCTAATGTAAACCTACCCTCTTTTAATTTAGAAACTCCCCAGTACTTTCTTCTCCAGGCTGAGCACCCCCAGCTCTCTCAGCCTGTCTCCATAGCAGAGGTGTTCCAGCACTCTGAGCCTCTTTATGGCCTCCTCTGGACTCTCTCCAGCAGGTCCATGTTCTTCATTTGCTAGGGGCCCCAGAGTTGGTGCAGCACTGCAGGTGGGGTCTCACCAGAGCAGAACAGAGAATCCCCTCCCTTGCCCCCCTGCCCTCACTGCTTGTGTTGCAGCCCAGAACAGGCCTGGCTCTCTGGGCTCTGAGCTCACATTGCTGGGTCATGTCCAGCTCATCCATCAGCATCCCCAAGTCCTTCTGGGCAGGGCTGCTCTCCATCTGCTCATCCCCCAGCCTGTGTTGATACTGGGGGTTGCCCTCACCCATGTGCAACACTTTGCATTTGTTCTATTGAACCTCAGTGGGATTCCCATGTGCCCATTTCTTGARCTTGTCCAGGTCTCTCTGGATGGCATCCCATCCCTCAGGTGTGTCACTGCATCACTCAGCTTGGTGTCATCTCAAAATCAGCTGCAGGTGCCCTTGATCCCTTTGTTTATGTCATTAATGAAGCTATTAAACACCACTGGTCCTTGAWTTCTTTCAGGTCTCCATGAGTTCGATGCCTTACAAGACCCTGAAGTGAATGACTTCCGAGCTAAAATGCGGAGAATCAGTGAGGAGAAGATTCAGTCCCTTGTGGGGCTCTCCTGGATGGAGTGGCTGAAGCACACTTACCCTCCAGAACAGGAGCCTGTTATCCCAGAGAGCATCCAAGATAAGCTCTACAGTGGAAACCTTGTAGTGGCTGTTCATTTTGATAACTGCCAGGTAGGAATGGTTGTTCATCATCTTTCATGAACTGTTCTTGATCCAGATCTGAATTRGCATGGGATTGCTCAAGGATGTAAATGAAATAGAGCGCATATGTTATGGTGCTTGCTTTAAAATGCAAAACCTTTCACCAGAATCCTCAACTCTGGAAAGAAAGTGAGGATGTGAGCCCACCATTGAGAATCGAACTTCTAAAGACAATTTACAGTTCTACTTCAAAAGGCAAAGTATACAACTTGAATATTCTATATTGTTTCATATTAATTTAAATGTAAAACAAGATCCAAAGTTGTCAGGGCTTTTTTTTGACCAACTGTTCCTGTGTTGCTTCACTTACATTTGATTTTAAGCTCAGTCCATCAGGGATTGCTGGTAATTGGGAGGCACCTTATTCAACACGGTTGTTTGTGTGTGTGACTCACTGAACATCTTTTGGGTTGATCTGCTAATTAGATGGATAAATAAATTTTAGAAAATATAAAGGAAAGGAAATTAGTATTCCCTTTATTAGAAATGCACATAGAAAACTGAAACATTCTGACTTAGAGTTACMTTTTTGTTTAGACTAGCAAAATCATTGTTTATTTTTAAAATAAAACCTACTTTGGTTTCTACCAGGAAAACCCAAAATGTTTTAGCATGAGATTTTATGTTGGTGAAGTGGCTATGATTCTCCTTGAGTCCAGTATTCTCATTGCCCTCTTTTACAATCTCTTCTTTTGGATAACCATGACTAATCAGCATTGGAAACCTTAAAAATCTTGCAAGTGTGAATACATCAGGCCAGATTTGGTGTCCATCCCAGGTGCAAGATGCTGATTCTTTAATAATTCAGATGATTTTAGTTACAAAGCTGTACTATTTCGAGTACTATCCTTTCAAACTTTAAAGGTTAAAATGGTACACACATCTGCCTCTGGAAACACTAAATGCAGAGGTGAAAGCTAAATCTGGTGACCAGTAACACCAGCTGCTGTTGAATGTGTAGGTGTTTTATGATGAAACCTTTTCCAGTCCTCTTAAGCTTAACAGAGACCTTGTAGCTGTCCAGGAGTGAGATTATCTGTGTGTTTGTCAGCTCTTGATTAAATACTGCATCTATATGCATATGCTGACAGTACAAAARCAGTGCAAAAGTTCATGCTGGTGCAGAATGTATTTGCCTGCCACTATAATAGCTTAGGCTGCTGACATTTCAAATGTYTCAAATGCTTCTGCTGCCAGCTCTGACCTTCAGAGCTATTAACAGTTCAAATCTGAGCTGATTTTTAGAGCAGTAAACTCTGTTCAGACATTACTACTTGCACTGAGTCCTGGAGTCATCCCAGGAGAATGAAATAGGAAGGTATGGGGACTGTTGTGTTCTTTCAATTCGTTCAGCTGCAAGATTGAGAGAAAGAAATATTAAAGTACTTTTTGTCCGGGAGGTGTGAGTGAGCTGTAAGGGCTACATGGCTGTCTCTGGAGCAGGAGACACTGATCCCCATCTCTGTGACATATCTGTTAAGATCTGCATCTGGGAAGCAAGGCAGCTGTCAGAGCACCAGCTTCCTGGGAAGAAAASGTGTTATTCCCTGTTTACTCACCACCAGTTCTGAGAGGAGAAGAAAGCCTTTGCAATGAGGCAGCTTTCTGAAAGGGAGAAGCTGTCGTGAACCAGGCAGAAACTGAGAAAATACAGAATTAATTTTGTTTTACTTTGCAGATTTTGCTTGTTCCATTGGGGCAGCTTGGCTTCTTACCAGTCTATATAAATAAAGCACAAGTCAAAAGAATGTAAGCAGACAACACTTTGTATTTGTCAATAACTGAGTGTAGGATGCTTGCATCTTTAGAATTGTGTAAACAAAAAATAATGATTTTTTTTTTTTTTATTAAATAAAACAACAGAAGCCCAGGACTCCCTGAATCAACCTTTGCAAATAAACCTGTGCCAAGCACAACGTGGTAGATGAAGGGAGGTGAAAGATTTCACAGAAKATCTTGTACTTTGGGAACTTGCAATGAATTCAAATGTTCTTTTTAATTTACAAAAGGAAGTAACTTCTTACATTTATCTTTTTAGAACACATTAAAATTAGAGATACTTTGGAAATAGGCTGATAGCCTCCAAGGGTTTTGTTTAAAAAATTTCTTAGAAAATGCAGTCTTTCAATGTTGTGTTCAGAATGCTACAGGTGTTAGCTGGTGTTTCTCTTTCCTGCTCTCCTCCCAATGGGGTGGTAGTTTTCTACATAAATCACATTCAGTTTCTTCTGCTTTATTGCTTGAAGCTTTCTTTTTCTTCTGAGCTCAGTTATACTTAGAAAGAGGATAACTTTCTAGTGGCCAGAAAGAAGAAAAATTATCACATCTAGTACTGCTAAATACTTTGAAATGTATGCATGATTTATTGTTTCCCTCATTCATATTCCAAAATACRAGCTTCTAGATTCTAGAAGTCTTTAAATCACTGCTGAATCAAATAAAGATCTGTGTTTTTARAAGTACTTCTGATAATATAAAAGGTTGGGAATTGACATTTTACAGCTTTTAGGGTGYGATTGCCCTAAAGATATAGACTTTATGGTTAAAATAGTCAGAATTTGACTGTTATTATTTCTACCTGTGTTATTATTTGGTCTACAATTTGTGTGTCTGACTATGGCAAGTTTGACCTCCAGTATTCCTGTTTTTGTTTTGTTAGGATGTATTTAGTTTTCAGGTGTCTCCTAACATGAATCCCATCAAGCTGAAYGAGCTGGCAATCCGAAAACGTTTGACTATCCATGGAAAAGAAGATGAGGAAGTTGATCCTGCTGACTATGTGCTGCAAGTTAGTGGAAGGCTAGAATATGTTTTTGGTGATCACCCATTAATTCAGTTCCAGGTAYGTAAAGATTTTTGGAACTTGGCCTAGCAGTTCTGTGCTGCCTTGGCCAAAAGTGCTTCCTCCCATCCCATTACTGAATGGTAACACCTTCTTCCCTGTGTCAGCAGCCYTCTGCAGTTGTAAAATACATRTGCACCACTYCCTTTGTATCTTTGYAATGAATWCWTTGTTTCTTTGGTTTGRGAGYTGCTSTAGGAGTAGTCTCTGCTGGTTGATAATAACTGTTTTCCCTGGCTTTCAGTACATCCGCACCTGTGTGATGAACAGGACCCTTCCCCAGCTCACCCTGGTGGAGTGTTGCACCATAAAGAAGATGTGTGAGCAGGAGATGATTGCCATAGAAGCTGCCATAAACCGAAAATCCTCCAACCTTCCTCTTCCTCTGCCACCAAAAAAAACAAGAGCAACRACTGTAAGTTCATGGGGACAGTGTCTGGTACCCAAAGGGAGCAGTGACTCGTGGAATATAAATCACAGTGCCTGGAATTTGTGCTGTGACCACCGTAGTTCAGTGTAGGTCACTTGGGTCAGCTCAAAGCCTCCTGGTGCTTGGGAGGTTGACCTCAGAAATAGCAGACCTTGAGGCTTTTTGGAAACTTSTTACCTTCCCTTGCCTCATCCATCCTCCTCCTCTCCTTCCTGCCTGCCCTGCCATTGCTGTAGATTCTGCCTTTAATCCCAGCCCAGAGGAGCAGGGCTAATCTGTCAGCAGCAGCTGCAGGAGTTACTGCAGAGAGCAGGATTCTCCATCTCCCCTGCCATGCAYTGGCTCCACTCCCTTGGCAGCAGTGCTCTGGGCTCTCTTGTCCCAGCCCAGAGATCCTGTGTGCCATTGCCATTGCACTGATGGCAGCTTTGGCCATAATACACATCTGACTTTCTTCTAACCTGCTGCTTCCTYTGCTGTAACTTATGGCTTTACTGCACACTTATAACCTCGGTACTGTYACTCTAAGAAATGTGCACAGGTCCTTGCTCCATTACACACTCCAGTTAYTCAGAATGAACAATAAATTTGAAGGGTTATTCTGAACTATCACCAGGTAATAGTGATGTATGTTCTCACCCCCAGCTCTCTTTCAGCTGAGTTTTTGCTGTCTGCTCTTGTAACTATTCTTTAAGATTTCAAATTTATATATTTTAAAATGGGGTTTTTTTGTTTGTATTTGTGATTTTGCTTAAAATGTTTCGCTTGTAAAACAGGTCTCAATGTTACAGTGGTGAAGAATAAACTTGTATCTTTGTTTCTCTTCTCAGAGTGTGTGGGATATTTGCAACCCTTTCAAGATTGTTCTRTTAAAGGGTAATAAACTAAATACAGAAGAAAATGCCAAAGTGAGTAACTATGTCTATGTCTATTCTGTTCATCATTTTAATGATTTTCAATGCTAAATGAACCCAAAATCATATGGATTTCAGTTCAGTAAAAGTGTAATAAGGGTTTTTATTTATTCCAATTTTATTTATTCCAATTACTTTGGCAGCATTGGTTAAAATCTGGCTTTATTGCTAAGGTATTCCTTTATTGCCTGAAGTTGGGTATGTGCATTGGAACATTGCAATAATTGTGGCAATGTGACATAAGTGTTCATTGGTACTTGATTTTTTTTTAAAACATGGTGTCTGTAAAGTTCTGATATTGGTGTGAAATGAGCTTCTTTCAAATAGACTGTCATAAACACCTGACACAGGAGTAGATTAAATTAAATGCTTTTCAGTGCAACGTGAGTATTTTTTCTGTCCTGAATGTATTCTGCATGTCTAAACTTGGACTCTGTGCTTCTATACAATCTGTCTTTTATTTTCTACACATGAGGAACACAAAGAAAGCTGTAGTATCATTTCCTGTAAAAATATACATGACTGGGCTACTGACTGCTGTACAGACCACAAGTTGTTAACACRTGGGAACTTATTGCACAGCTACTTTAAGGCCTTACAAGACAATTGCATGTGACATAGAATGTTAAATTCCTTTATTTTGTTTAGTAATCAGTAAATTGTGTAGCCAGTCATGTAGATAAGGAAAATATCCAGCTAATATTGATATTTACTTTCTCATGCTTTAATTGGGATACTTGGTGCTTTTTTTTCATTCAAAACTCTTGTTGCAACCTCCATATGAATTAACAATCCTATGTTTTACTGCACAGATAAATGAGCCATAGCTGCATTTTACTRCTTGAGACACTGTGATTGTGGAAATGGAAGGCTGTAAAACCAGATGTTTCCTTCTTTGTTTAAAYCATTATTTAGCTAGTTCCAGTATCTTCTTAAGTCTGTGTTCTGTAGACTCTTCAGTTTTTAAAAGAAAAGAGAATGAAAAGATAAAGAGGATTTTGGAATAAACATAGCTATTGGGGGTTTTTAAGGTGTTTTTTTCCATGCTTAAGGAAGTGATTTTGATTAATTTCAGTGTTCTAATAGAGGGAAAACAATGAAAATATTTTCTGAGCTGGAGAAGAAACAAGAAAAATTGGCAGTTCTTTTATATTGTATTTGTACATATATATTTGTATTGCACCTGTGGACACCATGTAAATGTTATTTAGTATTTTGAATTCTTCTTAGTCTTGAAAAATTAAAAGTTCTGWGGTTAACCTAGAACAGGAATGAATGCAGTGACCCTGCAAACCTGTGCATGTTTCCCTGTGTTGTCTGTCTGCAGTGTTACAAAATTGTCACTATTGAGAACGTGTTTGTTTTCCAGTCCTGATTCTAAGGCTGTTTAATTCACTGCCATTGTTCCTTTAGTCCCATTGTGCTTTGGATCAAGCCAATATTCATCCATTTTTGCTGAAACCACCACCAARGTTCACAAATGCAGTGTTTGTAGTGGGAAACAAAACATTTGTCAGCTGGGTAGCACAGCCCCAATGTGAGCTGGGTTGGGGACATTCACCTAGAGCTCAAGTGACCTCACCCAGCAGTCTAACACCRATTTTCCAAATGCATGACCTTGGGAAGCACTTTTTTCTTGCTCTTTGGCTACCCAGTACACACCATTTCATTAGTAAAAGGGGCGTGTCAGGATGCAAAGGAAAAAATTGGGATCCAGGCCCTTACATTAACCATAGAATTAGAAAGGCAAATTATTTTCTAATCCAAAATCTGTATCAAATTTAATATCTCCCTCTTTCCTTTGCAGTGCTCAGAAATAATRTGATAGCTTACAGGGAATGTTGGGAATACTGATTAAGGAGCCTTGAGAACCTGAAACATCAGATCACTGTTACATGTTTAACTATAACATTGAGAACCTTTTGGTGTTGACAAAAGGATTACATATGTGGGTTTCTCTGTCTCTCTCACACTGGTATTTTGGAAGGCCAACTGAAAGAAGTTGGCATATTTCACTCTCCAATTTTCTGTGCATATATATTATTAAACAGAAATGAAGAAAGGAGACACAGCTTAGCATTGCCCTCTAATGAGTTTCACTTCAGTGCCAGTAACTCCAGCTTCTTTATCTGCTTGTCATTCTCCTTTCCTGATCCTTATTTTCACTGTTCAGGCTGCCTGGTTTTGTTGGTTTCTGGGTACTAAAGACAGAACAAATCTTGGAAATCATGTACATTGTCATTATTTTTACAGATGRCTTTTGATGTTAAGGTCAGCAGTGTTCCCTTTATACATTTTTAGAAATAGTTTAAATAAWAGTTGATCTTTTTCTTAAGCTKAAAAAAATCCCAMATTTTCTCATTTAAAAACACAAATTGCTTCTGTCTGGAGGTTTTAATTTGAATCCAGAAAATCAGTCTTTTTCATTCTGCTTAGTTATTTGTTTGATGACATCCACATATATATGTTCTGTATATTATTCTGTGCAGAATTCTGTAGGTTCTGTGACAAGCTTAAAATGTCTCATTTCTTTATGGCAGGTTCATGTTAGGGCTGGTCTTTTCCATGGTACYGAGCTCCTTTGTAAAACAGTTGTAAGCACTGAAATATCTGGGAGAAGTGACCACGTTTGGAATGAAGTGCTGGAGTTTGAAATCAATGTGTGTGATCTGCCAAGGATGGCAAGGCTCTGCTTTGCTGTTTATGCTGTGATGGATAAAATGAAAACTAAAAAGTCTACCAAGGCAATGAATACTTCCAAATACCAAACCATTAGGAAAGCAGGAAAAGTGGTAATTATTTCATTTGTTTTTCTTGTGTGTTCTCTGAATTATATCAAAATGAGCATCCAGAAATCCTTCCTTGTGCTCACTTTAGTGGTCAAGAGTGCAAAATGAAAAAAAAAAACCTATTAAAAAGAACATGTGTATTAAGAATGGCACATCATGATATGAAAACTTTTGATACTTCTCAGTGATTAACTGCTTTTCTGAAAGGTATCACCATTTGAAAAGAAACCCAAGCCACCCTCTCAATTTTATTATATTGTAGTGCTTGCTGTGCACTAATACCTGCTGGCATCAGTTTCCATGTAAAAATTCTTTCCTTTGACAGCATTATCCTGTAGCCTGGGTGAATACCATGGTGTTTGATTATAAAGGACATTTGAGGAATGGAGAACTGGTACTGCACAGCTGGTCATCATTTCCTGGTAAACCTCAACTTTTCAGATTTGGACTTTAAGCTCTGGAGAGTGTAGGATCCAATAGCAGAATATTTACTGTATGCATGTTCAACCTCCTTGTACTAATCTCTTTAGTCCTTGTATTTTTTATGTGGATAAATATRTCACATTTTCATCTCCTTCCTGAAAGTTTTGTTTATCAGGAAAGAGGAATAGCAAGAGTCTGCTTGGAAATTCTAAAAGTTTCATCTGTTATGGAAGGAAAACCACATAAAATAGTTGTGTGTTTCTATCTGGTGTTACTTACTTTTAAGGTGCAGTTTAGGTTTCATTTGGTCCCTGTGCTATACACCCCAAACTAAATAGATCAGCTGGGGTGTAGGCRATAGTATTTGCATCAGCCAAAGATGGGAATGAGAATTTTGTCTTCTTCCCTGATATTCAGGTCCATTAGTGAGTGTCTGGAAGCTCCATGTCACTCTGTCCATGTGATCCAGAGGCAGAGTGTGGGTCCTGCCTGCAGAAGATCACACTGGGATTTATTTCAGTACAGGGACAGCTCAGCTTCCCTTCCCTGTCAYGTTTACCGTGGAAAAAGAAAATGGGTTTCTCATTGGGTGATAATCCAACATTTGGGAATGTAGGAGGCAGTTTATGCTGGAAACACAGAGCATTGTTCTAATAGTGCTGTGCAGCAAAACGTGCTCTGTCCATTTTATAAATAAGTGATTTCTTACTATGTTTCTGCCTTTCAGATTTCTAAAATTTTAATGTGTGCTTGGCCTATAGTATTAATTGTTCTGTCTGWATTTCAGATGAACTTGAAGAAATGTTGAATCCCATGGGAACCGTCCAGACTAATCCTTACACTGAAAATGCAACAGCTTTGCACATTAGATTTCAGGAATATTCAAAACAGCCCATTAATTACCCTCCCTTTGATAAGGTAAGGTATGAMGAGAGGTCATGAATGCTATGTGAAAATAGCTGCTTCTTCTTTCTTTTCAAACTTTCTTTTCCAGTGAATTCTCCCTTTCCTGCCTTTTAGTCCCCATACTGTAGCTTGTTAAACTTATACCATATGAGTGAGGGGCAGTGCTTGATTTCTGGGYCTATTTTGAAAATGTGCACTTTTAAAAGTGGTCTGTACATGATCTTTTGAAGGTCAAAAGCAAATCAGTTTCCCATATGAATAATCTTACAAAAAGCTAAATTTAGCTGCTATTCTGGAAACCTTCAAACTGTKCTTGCCTGTGATCTATAAAGATCTGTTCTTCCTTGGTACAAATGTGTTACCCCCTCTTTGGGACACTGCCCTGTGAGCTCAGGTGCTTTAAAGGATAAATGGACTCTTAATGCTGTGTGCAGAGGGATTTCTGAAGGTCTGCTCTTGAACTGAATCCACTGAAGTTGCCCTACAGTTTTCTACAGATGAAGGCAAGAGCCTGTCTAGAAAGGAAGTGTATATTTGGAATACACGTGGTTATGTCTGTAGTGTGAAGGATAGATGGAAAGTTGTTCAGAAACTAGCAAAAAAGGCTGAGATCARGAAACGTGTAATAAAAGGCAAGTGTTGCTTGTTTTTGCCAAGAAAACAGAGAAGGAGATGCCAGATTTTTGTTTTAAGAAACATAATGTGCAAAAACAGATGATTTTTTTCGATCATATCATCAACCTGCTTGCACAGTAAGGAGCAATTTGGTGCTCAGGGAGCAGAAGTGCCTGGACCATGGATAAGAAACTTGTCTGAGACAGGAGCCATGTGTTGGGCTGGTCCATGGCCAGTGCTGCAGGCACATTGTGAGGCTTGGGGTTCACTCGAACAAAGCTGGGCTTGCAAAGACTTTGAAAGTTTATTTGCAAACAGAATAATTCTGAAAAGCACGGGGAGGCAAGAATCAAACATATAATTAGGACACTGTGGTTTTGTTTATGCATGTTTTCACACACAGAATGTAAATAAGATTTCTAGCCAAGCAGCAGATGTAATGCATGATATTAATGAGAGTTTCACACAGAGAAAARAAATAAAACAAGTTAGGATACCTTTCTAAGGATTTTAGCTGCTGGGTATTTATGCTCTGATTCTTGCAGTCTTTTGTTGTTTCTCACATTGTCTGAGTAAAGACAACACAAGACTTGCTGGACTTRKGGCTGGGGGTGCTGTTGAATTCCTGGGTGATGGGGGAGGCAAAGCTCTCAGGATAAAGGAATTGGTGTAGTTCCTTAGACATTTTTGTGCATAGAGATTTCATTTTATCATTTGTTCCTCAAAGCAGCAGCATCTGGCAGCTGTAGACAGACATACCTGACCAGTCCAGCTGGGCCAATTGGCCCAGGCAGTCACCCTCTAACACCTGGCTTGGTTGCAATAGTGTGCAGAATGCACTTTGAAGAACTGCAGTTGCTTCTAGATTGCTTTCTCCATCGTGAACTTCAAACACCAGGTAGAAGGTTCAAAAGGAAAAAAAAAAATCACAAAAAAAAAAGGAGGGAAGATCCACATCTAGAGAAGTACCTGGAAACACCAATTGAGATCATGTGGGCAATCTGAGAACACAGTGAAAGGACTTGGCTTRTGCATTCACACTGGAATAGATGATTAGAAGTACAGATCTGTGGGCATGGAAATAGTGCCCTTGAAAACAGCACAAGGTGAAAGGTGAAAAAGCAAAGGATAACTTGAAGTTGAGGAATTGGTTTGCTGTAGTGAAAAACAAGCAGGAAATGCAGAAACAGAAAGCAAGGTGCCATCAGAAAGGCTGTTTAATGTAGCCCARGAGTGATGAAGAAGGAAATAACTGAGGTTATCATGAGCAGTGCTGTTCCTGATCTACCTAGACCTGCAGATGAGAAAAGSGGCACTGCACAGAAATCCATGTTATGTCACTGTATATACAAAAGAATAATGTTGGAACTGTGTAACAGTGTAATTTCCTTATCTGCTTCATTTCTGTAATGCTTATCCTTTCAATGCAGTCAGATTGGGTTTAAATCTAATGTATTTAAAAYTGACTTTTTGCAGATACTTGAAAAGGCAGCTGAGATTGCAAGAAACAGTGACAATGCTGCAATGGCGGTGAGTAGCATCTAAAGACTACTTTAGAACTAATTTTCTGGACATTTTTGTTTTTTATCTTCTGCATCTGTCTAGAAATAAATAAGTCAACTGCTCAAATAGCAATTCTATTTGCTCCGTATTCTTATGAATCTCTTTGAAATACCTTAAAAATCAGATACATATGCTTTTTCCAGTGTATTTTGGACTTGTCTATATTTTGTCAAAAATCTTTACATAATCTATGGATTTGGAGCACAGCTAAGATTTAYATGAGATCTGGAAAACAATTTCTGATTAGAAGACAAAAATAAGTGTCTGCCTACTTGGCAAATGTGTTTTCTTCTGAGTGTTGCAAWAGTATATTTTTGTTTCTAATCAAAATTAATAATTTTACATTTATCTATTACATTTGCTCACTTCAAAAACAAAAGAAGAAAGTATAYGCATCCTAARTGAAAGTGCTCCATGTTGGAGTTGRAAAACAGAAATATTGCCATCTAGTGTCCTTCACTCTAAAKTTGAGTTGCTTTTTCAGAAACTTGTGCACACTGAACTTGTTATCTGCTGTTTACAGTGCTTACAGTAAGAGATCTGAAAATAAGGCACAGTAGTCATTCCCTTGTGTTTCATGAGTTTTATTGGATGTTCCTCCTGCTCTAGGACTGCTAATATTTGAGCTACCATACAAGGATCTTACTGAATTTATCACACCATTATACATTTTTCATTTCCTAGGGTCGAGGTGGTAAGAAGTTTTATGTTGTGCTAAAAGATATAATGGAAAGAGATCCTTTATCTCAGCTTTGTGAAAATGAAATGGATCTCATTTGGACTTTGCGGTATGACTGTCGTGAAAATTTCCCACAATCATTGCCAAAACTGCTGCTCTCTTTAAAGTGGAACAAACTTGAAGATGTTGCTCAGGTAGGAGAAATGACAATGATGGTGGGGGAAAATGCTGCAGTCAAATCATCAGTAAATAGGATTTCTATCCCAAGTGTAGCCAGTTTGAAATAGTGCTATGGTGTAAAGYGAATTCAGTGTTTGACTTCTGCAGCCCAGACACATAAAGAACTAACCAGCTGTTTATGAGAAAATGGACTTAATAACTAAACTATATTCCTGGTTTTATCAATTCAGCTCAAAAATACTAAGTCTCTTTTAGAAATAAACTCTTGTATTTGATTGTCTTTAATCTAGTAGCTCAGTGGTCCATGGAGTTATGCCCAGCAGATTCAAGCAGCTTTCTTGAATTATTTACCATGCAAATCTCATCCCAGCTCTCAATGGATTTGCAGGATTTTAGTGAAGCAGGTGCAGAGTAGGAATTGCCCTTACTGCTGCCATAACCTCCCTGCTCAGCAGAGTAGCAGGGGGACAGCACTTGATAGCAGAATTCACAAGGCAGTATTTATTCTCAAAGCAGAATTCAGCCATTTGAAAAAAAAAATCCTCTTGCTTTCATTGAAGTGACACAATCATTAATGAGAACCAGAGAAAGGACAGCTGAAATACTTGAAATAACTGGGATAAAAATACTGGCCTCTGCATAATTGTATTGTCACATGTAGTAAACCTGCCTTGTTAGGGAAGAAATTGTGRTTATTTCTTTACAGAAAAAGATATTGTTACACCAAGGCCAAATTTGAATTTTCTCTGCAACATGCATTGTTCATTCCCATTGTAACCACCTCTGCAGTAATTTCAGCTAAGGGAGGAGCTCTGTGTCCTTACCTGTCACTGTCTTTTTGTCCCAGCTTCAGGCTCTCCTGCAGATATGGCCCAAGCTGCTGCCCAGAGAGGCGTTGGAGCTGCTGGATTTCAATTACCCCGACCAGTACGTCAGAGAATATGCAGTGGGTTGTTTGAGGCAGATGAGGTATGTAAAGGTTTCTGGGGTGCAAAACTGCATTCTGTTTGCTCACAGCTAAAAAGCAACCCCAAGAGGAAAGAGCTAAACATTGCCTGCCATGAATAGGTGGCCAGATAAAGCAGTCTGATTTCTAGATAGGYTCATTGGCAGCTGAATAAAACCACCTTACTCTGACTCCTTGTAGTCAATGGTGATTGTTTTCCATGTTGCAAGGAGAGCACCAGTGCATCTTTGTCCCAGAGAGGGTTGGGTGTTCATCCCAACCCTTGAGCAAAGGGAAAGCGAGAAACTGTGAAACTTTTTAATAACAAAGAGAAGAATATTCCTATAGTCAAATACTGTAAAGCCTGACATCCAGCCACCTCCACTCTCTGTCAGGGATTGGCTGTATCATTTAAGAGGAATGTAAGCTGTGGTATGTAATAAATGATGAGACGATTCCTGGTTTGTTTTTGATTCACAGGAGTCTTCATTCTCTGCAGTTCTTCCCTTATTGCATTTCATTTGCTCTTCACTGTAACCTAGGGCAAGACTTGTGTAACATTATCATTACTGCGTATTTCCTGTCCTTGAATTCTCAATTCTCTTTGGTGAATAGTTTAGTGTATAATTTTTTAAATGGTCAAGGGTAGACTTTTGGGGTAAAAAAAAATTATTTTGACTTCTTTCAAATCCAAACAAACAATTTAGCTGCTGGGCTATCCTAAGAATACATCTGGAATTATTTCCATCTGGCAATTGCACTAAGTTGTGTATTGTCCTTCTCTGTGTGATGGAAAAATTGGGAGACACTCTTGCTGTTGAAAAAAATCTGTCACTGTTTGGTTTGTCATGTGCATCTGAATTTCTGGAGTGTCACTAATCTAGCTACTCTAACTGCTTCTATGTACCTCATTCTAGCGATGAAGAGCTCTCTCAGTATCTTCTCCAACTTGTGCAAGTCCTGAAGTATGAGCCTTTTCTGGATTGTGCACTCTCCAGATTTCTCCTGGAAAGAGCCCTTGGCAACAGGAGAATAGGACAGATGTTGTTCTGGCATCTGAGGTAGGAGTTTTTCCTTTTTGTCTTATTAAAAACTATTGAGCCTGACTGGACTTTCACATATGATTTCTTGAGGATTTTTCTAAATGAGCCATTATGCTAGTGCCCCACAAGTCCTCTTTGTTTGTTTATCTTTGGCATCTATAGATCAGACCTCTCATTAAAATAAATTAAAGTGGYCTGTAATTACCATTTGATGAAAGTATTCCAAACTGCATTCAGCTCTGACTACCTGATGAGTTAGGTTTGTAAATACCCTTAGTGTTTGTTTTGGTTGGGGGTGCAGTAAAGGCACAATATTTATACCTCACAGTTGGGAAAAATTATTATYGTTGCAAGTCTAACAGAAAATAAAAGCTGTTCTGTGTGCTCTTGCTACTTTTGATGAGCAGTTTCATGAATGGCAGAAGCCTTGCAGAATGGACTGGGRTAGGTTGATTCTGTCTTTAGAATACAATTAATTTTAATATTTCTAGCTAAAAAGAACATTGTTACATAAAAATGTTTTGCAGGATAATTTGCCCTGATATAAAGTTCAGGGGTTTGTTTTGAAGTGTTTTCCTTCAGGTAAATCGTGTTTTCCCTTACAAAGATTGGAGAATGCGTGGTTTAACATCATCCCTGCAGTGACTTCTCAGTGCTGCTCTGAACAAAAAGGGTCCTGAAACAGGGGTTCAGTCACTCCCTCTTGGCATGAACACTGCTGCCTCCAGAGCTGTCCTGAGCCTTGAAACAAGGATCATGCATCAAAACTGCCCTGTCCTCATCTTCCTTAGCCTAGAAGGGTTCTGACATTTCTTAAGAAATTTGGGGTTGTGTTTCAGCTGCATGAGCACGAGGTGTTTTAATGTTTATTTGGGAGGTTTTTGTGTTTGTTTYGTTTTTTTTTTAATGAGTGGAACARCACGRGTCTGTAAATGCTGTGGTGTGATGAGAGCTTTTCCCTTGCAGGTCAGAGGTTCACATCCCCGCCGTGTCGGTGCAGTTTGGTTTGATACTGGAAGCTTAYTGCAGGGGGAGTGTGGCTCATATGAAGGTGCTGGCTAAACAGGTAGGGGCTTCCCTTCTGCTGTCATCCTGACCTATCCAAGCCTGCAGCTCCCATCCTCATTCCATTGYTCCTGTGGGGTGTATGGGCCACTGTGGCAAAGGTGGGCAATGGGGAGAAGGAGGCAGGAGTGCTACAGGGAACAAAGGATGAGTGGTGGCACAGAGGGCAGCCTGTGCTGTGGGGCCTCAGGGAGCTGCTTTTAGTGTTCTGAGCCATGTGAGGCACTTTCAGCAGTGTGTGTGTATTCTGGATACAACAGAGACTCTCTGGATTAACTGAACAACAGCTTCTGTGCATTTGACCTTTTTCCCCARTAGGGGTACAGCTTTTTCTAAATTTTACCCAGATTACTCCAGGATTACTTCATGCAGCTTTGGCTTTTGTTGGAGGTGATGCAAATCACCCAAATACTCACTTTAGTGTTAGTATAGATCTATCATTTACACACAGACACAAAACAAAGAAAGAACAAAGGARAGGCATGTTTGCTTTTAAATACCCTAATAGGCATGAGAGGTTTGCTTTTAAAAATACTAATAAATGTTCATTAACACTAATCTGTGATCATTAAGAGACACTCACAAATCATCTTTGAAGTCTCTAATGCAGTTTTAGTGTGTTAATTTAGATTGTGATCATAAAAATATTTGAAAATTATCTCTCTTTGGAGTGAAAATATTTACTGTATCAGGCCACAGTGATTCACTCAGTGGATGACTAATGAATTGTTTGTCTGMATTGAAACTGTGCTTTGGGAGCACGTGGAACAGGGATGTTCTGTTGTGCTCTTTATTTCTGYAGCCCACAGGACGTGGAAAAGACCATCTCTTCCATGTGTGCTTGTTAACATTGTCAAAATCATGAAAAGAGTAGGTAGTGCAATGCTTTAAGCAATAGATGTAAGGTCAGTAAAGTTTTTGTGCACTTTACAGGAAGCAAATGTCAGTACAATCAAAGAAGGGGCAAAAAAATTCCCAACTGTGCAAACACGGAAGAAATTCAAAGTAGAAATACTTCAAAAAGTTCCTGTTTGTACAACACAGGTTCCATTTTGTTCCCTTGTCACTGATGTTTGTACAGCTCCTAGAATAGTGGAAAAGCAGAGTGCTTTTGGTTTTGACAGATGGCTGACCTGGCAGGTCTCCACTGCCCAGTTTTATAATCAAACTCCATACAATTTCCACAGCATCCTGCCTGACAGGGTTCAGTCTGTGGGAGGGGTGAGTTTTGACTCAGCACCTTGTAAGTTAGACTGAAGCTTCCTTGTATAGAAAACAGCTTTCATAATTATTACGTGCTGCTGTTTGCTGCAGAATCTSTGTATTGCTCAGCTTGTTAACTCTGGCTGGTGCAAACACAGCTGATTGTTAAAAGAATTATTTCATATTTGGTCAAAAAGTTGCTTAAATGTAGAAATTGTACTTGTTGTATGTGCTGTCTGGGTTTGCTACCAAAGGGCTTTGCTCTRTCTGTGTCACACATTTACATCACCAATTTTCTTAGACATTATGTACCGGTAGAAAACTTTGCAAAACCAAAGGGGGAAAAGCTGTTAAACCCACCTGTGCTATTGCAAATAATTGCCTTGACTATTTTACACATTTTATTAAAAACTTTGCTCAGTTGAGATGCCATGATTTGGAACACCTTAGTCAATTCAAGCTCTTGTCTTATGCCTGACTTCAGCAGGATTTTAATGACAAACATTTAAGACTTTGAAAATTGTCTGCAAGTGGTCACATGTSTGTGCCTCATTGGATGCAACTTAATATGAACAATGAAATATCTGCATCCACAGCTCATCTCAAGTAATGCCTCAGTCTGTTAGAGGATTAAATAATCTGTATTTCTGTTGACTTCAGTATGCATAGAGGCACCTGTGTTGTGTGTTTTGTTGAAGTAGGGAACTAAAAATTTAACTTTGAAGAAGAAATTGGTGTTAATCTATCATACATTAAAATGCTCATACAGTTTTTTTGGAAATGTTAAGTTATGCTTTTAAGAGTTTAGGAGTTTTTATCCTATCAGTACCTCTATTAATTATGAAAATGGTATTTCTGAACCATAGGTGACTTAATTTCTGTCCATTATGTCCATTTAAAAAAAGTAGTAGAGTTATTTAATACTTGTTTTTGTTTTGAAATGGGATTTTGCATTGTATTACATTTCAAATCAGAGCAATAACTTAATGATAAAATATCTCTTTCAGGTGGAAGCCCTCAATAAAATGAAGACTTTAAATAGTCTAATTAAGCTGAATGCCATGAAGCAAAGCAAAGCAAAAGGAAAAGATGCAATGCACACGTGTTTGAAACAAAATGCTTACAGAGAAGCACTTTCTGACCTCCAGTCTCCTCTGAATCCTTCTGTTATACTTTCAGAACTGCAGTAAGTAAAGAATGAGCACAATTTGACTGTAGTTTGTGTGGAAACGTAGAGCAGAAACACATCYGTGTGTGAACTTCCTCTGGCTGCATTGTTCAGCACATGTGCTGCCACAGGGAACTTTTCCTAYAGTGACAGAAGGCCTGCTGGGAATCTTCCTGAGGTTAAGACATCAGTTAAATTAGAATATTTTTGTGACCCACTATGACACTTAATGCTCTCTTAGTCAATGCATTACCATGGCTAAATGTATTTAAGTATAAGCCTAAAAGTGAATGAGATTGCATTCCTGGCTTCTGTTTATAACAATAAGTACAAAGCCACTAAAACTTTTTACAGCATTTAAAGTCAAAAAATGGATGGGGAGGGATATAAAGAAAACAATGTTCTCTGAAAATGAGTATGCTTGATTTAAGCAGTAGAGATACATTCACCAGTTACAAATACATTCCACATAAAACATGCWTAGCTGGGTAAGTGCTCATGACACAGCAGCAGAATGAAAGCAGAGAGAACCTTAAAGTACTTCCAAATTTGAAATCTACATGTTCTCTTGTGTTCTGAACATGTTTAGATCTTTTCAGTTGAATTACTCCTATTTGACTAAAAAGTCTGTTGTATTTTCATCTAGTGTTGAGAAGTGTAGATATATGGATTCTAAAATGAAGCCTCTCTGGATAGTATACAACAACAAAATGTTTGGAGGAGATCTTGTGGGGATCATCTTTAAAAATGGTGATGGTAAGCAATGCTAGAAATTTGAATTTTTTCCTTTTCCCCCTTCATTCCCGTGCTTGCACATAAGCTGGGCTGGGAATGTGTTTTGCACTAGTATAAACATGGATTACTCTGACATCAGTAAAAAAAATTAGGCATCTTCTGACTAAGTTTCAAGGCACAGACATTGSCAGTCAGGATGATGTAATTACAATTAATACCACTTTAACCCTTAGGCTGGGTGAGTATTTTTAGACCCCTTTCTCTGAAGGCCTTGGAAACCTGAGSAAGTTTGTGAGAAACTGAAGCAGCAGTTTCACCTCTCATTGCAGATCTGCGCCAGGACATGTTGACACTCCAGATTCTGCGCTTGATGGACATTCTTTGGAAAGAGGCTGGCCTGGATCTCCGGTAAGCATCTCCTGAGGGCTGCTTTGTTTGGATGGAGAGTCTACTTTTAGGAGTAAAGCTTTCCTGTTTTGAAGTACCTTCCCTACTGTCCCCTTTCTGCACATCTGCCTGGGTGCCCAGAGGTGTCGGCAAGGTGACACCAAGGTGAACAGGCTGTGGGAAGTGTTCCCTTCTCTCCTTCCTGCTGGGAGCAGAGCTCTCATTGCTGTCCACACCAGCACTTACAGCTACTGGAAACATCTTCAACTCTGAAATCACTTTCTCTTGTTAGTAAAACACTGTTTGGATGCCACAAATCATTTTTCCAACCAGAAATATGTTTGCATTTTCCAAAGTCTCTTGCAAAGCAGCTTCCTTACCTTCATGTGCTTGATRAGGTAGACATGACTTTGTAGGAATACTAGAGGATTCCAAAAAGAAACAGTATCAGTCATTGCTCAGTGTTATCACACAACCCTTTAGTATATGGGAAACTTTTCCACCCAAATTTATGGACCAGTTTTTGGTAATATGATTCTCAAATTCTAATTGCACTTTAAGAGAGTAGTCCTGAAGAAGGTATTGAGTGTCGCATTGTTATAAACCGTTTTTAGCCATAAATTAAGGTTTGAATGCTTGTGCAAGAGCAAATGTTCTTTACAAGTCTAGAAGTATTTATATTTAAATATTACCTGAAATATTTAATTTAGGTTCTTTGAGCTTTTTTCAAAATTTTTATGGTTCAAGCATAATAATGGGAACTATATCAGGCATGTAACATCAGCACAGGTAAGGACATTTATAAACCTGTTACACTGCTTAAGGAAAGGTGGGRATGTTACAATTACAAATTGCTTCTGGCAATGTACATTTGCGATGAGAAAAGCTGAGCACTGACTTGAGAAAACCTTAGATAATTTATGTCATTATAAATTGACTGTGGGGAGGCTGATCCAGCATTTGGGGGCAAGGACAACCTCTGGCAGCAGTGGAATCCCAGATGAGGCATTCTTCAGTAGCTGCCTTCCCAGAAGCTGAGTTTGTGGTTCCGGCCTGGGCCACACACCGTGCCTAGCAAACAGGAATRGTGATTAGAGTCATCAAATATGCTTTTCCTGACTAAGGCATTTTTTAAAAACTCARCAAAGGAAAAGCGAAAAGTAGCTCTGATGTCCAAGATTTTTCTTGAAACTCTGAGAAAAAAAAAAAGTAGAAAGGGGAAGTTCCTAGTGAGAATTGAAGTGCTATATTTGGCCTCTTCCATTTATTTGCTTAATGGGAGCATCTTCCTTCCATTCATCCTCTCATAGTTGCCATTATAAAATGAAATTGTGGGACTGAGGCAGGGTTACAATTCACTGTCTGTGAAGGAGATTAATCAGGCAGTTGCCAAGAGAAGGCTCTGAAATTACCTTCCTTGGAAAAAGAGTTGGACAAAACATCACTCTCAACACCCAGAGCATGAGGACACAGCCATGAGGGTGAGGCTTTGTCATCTCCGTGTTTATGGCCTGCATGTCTCTCAGGAAAAGAGCTCCATAATCCATGAAGTACCAGTGGTGGTGATGAGCTCTTTGCCATGTTCCTGAGTCAGGACCCATTGGCTACTTTTTGTTTGGGTGAGAGGCATGGTCTCAGAAAAGTGGTGTCAAAGAGCTGCTTTCCTGACAAATGCAGTGCCATATRCCAGCAGCAATGAGCACAGTCTTTGCTTCTTGCTCTGTATCATCCTTAGTTTCCATGAATTATTTCCACTTSTGGATGCACAATGAATTTTGCACTTTCCAGCCTTTTCCACTACAGAGGGTGTGGTAACTCCATCCARGTAAAAGCAGAGCTTCTCCTTTGTGCCTGCAGTGTCAGAGCAGAAGCTCTTGCTGTTGCCTCTCTCTTCCCATCAGTCACATTTTGCCCCAAGCAGATTGTGCAGCTTCCATGAGGCACAGATCAAATGGCAGCCAATGCACTGCTGTCAGACTTGGGGACAGGATCAATTCCCTTCTAACTGCACTGCAATCTGCACTCGGTTGTTTAGCAGTGATTGAAAATGAAATCTTAGCTCAGTCTGTGTCTAAATCAAACATGATATTCCCAGTGGGATTTCTCAGCTCTAGTGAGGAACACCAAATATATATTAATTTTGAGAGCTGAAAGATGAGAAGTGTTTGTTTGTTTGTTTGTTTAACTGTCAACTAATTTGTCTCGTGGGTAACAAACAGGGCAGGGGGTGTGTCAAAGGGGACCCCTGTGTGCAGGAGGATGGAGCCATGTGCTCCTGTAGGTGCTTCATCCTGGGCTCTCACTGTGTGTGCAAAGCCAAAAAAAACTGGGGTGTAGGTTGGATCTGCACCCCAGAACAGAGCCAGCCAGGAGCACCAATGGCCAGCACCCAAACACTCACATTTAGGGTGTCTGCCTTGGGTCAGTCAACCTCAAATGTCAGCCAAGTAGCAGAGAGAAATGAACAAAGCAAAAAAGCCTATTTTTAAGTTAATCCCCACACCTAATAGTTTCCAAGAAAAACTATTACCTGAACATTGCGCTGGAAATAGTTGTCCAATTACAAATATATGTTACAGCAGAGGATCACAGCATCTGTGTTCCCAAGGATGCTGTGGGGCCTGTGGTGCTGCACCTCTCAGGAAAATCCTTGTATCACCTTTATCTGTGTTATAGCGTCMAAGTTGTGTTAATGGAGAAACAAGTAAAGTAACAGCAACAGAAAAAGGTGAAATGGAGGAGTTTGAGTCACCTTTGCTGTGGTAAATGGTCATAAAGTACTTAACACTTGGTTACTTTTTGGACTGATACAGGACATTTTTTTTCAGTGCCTGTCTATAGTAGGTTTTCATTTTCATCTCCCTTATGTGTGTGAGATCTGAGGTTACATGGCTGTGTATGAATGAAATCAGAGTTCACTCACATACTGGAAAATGTATTTGTTACAAATCTAAAGAATGGCATAATTTTTAAACKATTGGACCTGAAGTTACAGAGAATATGTTGATAAATCATCAGTATTTTGTGTGTGTTTGGAAGGACACTGCTTTGGAAAATTAATCACCCAATGAACAGTTTTAAATGAGTGAAGAGAATTTTCTGTCCTGCCCAGGATTGTGGTATTGATCTGTCCATGGCTTTTGCTGGCTTTAAAAAGCAGGGAGCATATCCTGCTGACAGATGGTGAAGTCAGAAAGACCAGGATGAGATGGAAAGGGCCCAGAGGATTTGTCCCTAACTTGACTCCTGTCAAACTGTCTCTCTGACAAGGATGTTTTTTCCTCCAGTTGTAAGCACACAGCCCTCAAGGGGCTGAAGGCTTTCATCATTGCTTGCTTTTGAAGGGGAAGTTGTTGGCCGTGTGCCCGGTTCAGCTGCAGAAGGGTGGGTTGAAATGCCATGGAAGAAGGCCAGCGTGCACTTTAACCTGGCAGGGTTTGGCTCCCATTTGTGGTGTCGTGATAAGGATGGGCAGAGCTTCCTCGCGCCGGGAGCGCCGGTGTGCGGCCATTCCAGAGCTCTCCTGCTCCTTGGAGAGCCGCTGCTCCGGGGAGCTGGGCTGGGCTGGGACAGGGAGCAGAAACCTTCTGAGCCTGTGCTTCTTATGTTGTTTTGAAGTTGAGTGCTCTTGGAATATCCTGTTGAATTCAGTTTTCAGTTCACTTTGTTGCCAGTGGAGAAGAATCCCAGACCATATTGTTAGTGCTACTTGCACCACTYTAGTTATGTTATCCCTGAGGTGGAGAAACTGTTCAGTTCCCTGATAGCTATCAGGCCAAAAACTTGTTTTAAATTTTGTATGGAATTTAATTTATTTTTCTTCTATTGCTTGGAATAATAGGCTATCTCAGTTAAGATATGTGGTTATACTTTTTTAGCAATCAAACTTATCACCTGTTTTATATATAAATACTGAAAATGGCTTCACCATCAGTACTCTGTATATATATGTGTCTGTATGCACACACATCAATTTAATATGTCTTGCAATTGTTTTATACAGTTCTCTAAGTCAGCGAGTTCTGTATAGCGTTTTTTTGTAGGCATCCCTTCTCTTTTACATGGATCATGACCACAATTGAGATAATGTTCTTGGCCTGAGCTGCCAGGCACAAGAATAGACACCCCAATTTGTGATTCAATGCCTTTGAAAAGTTAGCTGTAAGTTTCCACTGCACACGCTGAGCTCCCATCTCATGGGATGTTGCCATTCCATTCAGCTTTTTAAGTATCTGGGGGGAGGAAATGTATTGGAAAAAAAAAATACACTTATCTAATTGGGCACATCTCTCCTTGATTCATCTTTAACTGTGTCTTACTGTAATGCAGTGATGTTGTTGGAGGTATTTTCACTGGTCACAGTATATGAATGYACAGATGTGTTCTGAGATACCAGGCAAATTCAGAGATTTATTCCTGTTTTCCACTGGGTTTCTATGCTTCTATGCTAAGAGCTGGAAAATATTCGTTATGTTAATGTTTAAAAGGTTTTCTATCATTTCCATTTGAAGTAGGAAAAAGGTGGGAAAAGATAAGATGCTCTTTTCCATCTCCAGCAATAATTTATGGGGAATGAACGGGAGCGGATCAGTGTCTCTCCAGGCAGGATTTCACAAACGCTGGCGCGGGGCTCCCTCTGTGGGTGCTCCTGGGAAATTACAAGTGACTGGGTTCCAGTCAAAAGGAAAAATTAGGCTTTCTTAAATGTCTCCCTTTTTTGCATATATGTACATAATGTTTTAAATGCATTGCTGGTCTCTTACCTTAACAAACAATTTCTGTATATTAACGTTAAAGAGTTCAAATGACTACTCGACCACCTCAAAAAAATGGATACACTAAAGAAACACTTTGCTATTTTATGTTCTAACGTGATTCTGTGTTTTGTTTCAGGATATTGCCATATGGCTGTTTAGCAACTGGGGATCACTCTGGCCTTATTGAGGCTGTTTCCAGTTCAGAAACCATTGCTGACATTCAGTTAAACAGCAGCAATGTTGCTGCAGCTGCTGCCTTCAACAAGGATGCGCTCTTGAACTGGCTGAAGGAATACAATTTAGGGTAATTTCTACAGTTATTCTCTCAGCTATAGGATAAGCTGCAAAATTCCTCCTTAAGTTTCTCCTTAAGTGTTGAGGAAGGCATGATTTGTTGCTTATTGTTTTTTTAGTATGTCAAATTCTGACTGAGATTCGTGGTACCCTTGGGCCTGGCATTTGCASCATTTTGTCTGTGTGTTGCTGTGTAAGTTATATTACATTTGGCARCACAAACAAACCCAAGAGAACTGCATGGGTCTTGAGCCTTGATGTTGCCTTTCATATTGCTTATTCTCCACAGCTACTTTTACAATATTTTTTCTCAGGTAGTTCTAGTTTTAGAGCATCCTGATGGACTTCTGGTTTAAAAAAGTAAAAATCCTTTTTGAGATCAAGGCACGAATTTGTGTGCACTGATATAATTTTCTTTGTGGTTGCAGAGAGGACTTGGATCGTGCCATTGAAGAATTTACTCTGTCTTGTGCTGGCTACTGTGTAGCTACATATGTACTGGGAATTGGGGACAGACACAGTGAYAACATCATGGTCAGGAAAAATGGACAGGTAAAAATCCTTTCAGTATGCAGAATGACTTTSATATCTCTGGTCTGCAAGAGTTACCTTGAGAAATTGTAATTTACCTCGTGCCTTGGTGAAATGAAAGCCAAACCCGGTTAGAACTGATGTTTGTGGTAATTGAGAACTGCAGAGAGCTTCAAGGAAAGGAAATGTAGTGCTGGTGGAAGGACAGAGCAATGCCTGTTCTGTCAGCAATTCTGTATCKAGAGAGGCTGTTCTGGAGAGCTTTTTCAGAATATCCAAGAGGTCTTTTAATGGTTCAGATCCATTGAATAAAAGTTGTCTTAGAGTATCCTTCAAAGTGCCACCCTTGAAAATCCACGAGTTACATTTTGGAGCAGTGTGGTTTCCCTGGAGTGAGTCTGTACAGCTCAGTCTGCAGAAATGCTCAGTGTGGAACCCAGGAGCAGCACAGTGCTGTGCACTCAGAACCTGGCTGAGCTCTTAGACATGTRCTTTCTTAATTGTTACACTGTACAGTAACTTGTCTGATTTAATTGTGACTATTCTTCCCTAAAAACTAGCAAGGGTTGTAAAATTGAGAGTTTTACAGATATTTGCAGTATTCTTTTAAGTCTGTACATCCTGGAAGAAGCTGAAATGCCCTTGTCTTTGATTCTGACATGGGGAACTGCCACAGGTTCCTTGAGACTGACTCAATTCTGCTCCCTTTGCCTCTGTGTAGGAAGGCCTTGGATATGATGATGTTGAGCCTCATGGGCTCATCCTTGGGCTCATTTTTCTGTCTGATGCTGCCATCAAGATGTGTAGTGGCAACAGCAGCTTAAACCTGAGAGAATATTTTGCACASAGATCTGCTGCAGTGGTCACTCATAAGAATGTGGATTTTATCACTGACTTAAATCTTGAAATGTTTTAGAACTAAATATTCCCAAAGAGTTTGAAACCATGGGTTATGGAGAGTCACATTAGGAGTTAACTGTTCTTCATACCAGCATCCTGTAGAGATATTAGAAAAGTGACAAATTTCACTGGAGCAATTAATTTTCATTTTGATTTTTTTGTTTTTGTTTTTGTTTAGCTCTTTCACATAGATTTTGGGCATATTCTTGGAAACTTTAAGTCCAAGTTTGGAATTAAAAGGGAACGGGTACCTTTCATACTCACCTATGATTTCATTCATGTTATTCAACAAGGAAAAACAGGGAACACAGAAAAATTTGGTCGGTGAGTGTTATTTTGATTTATTTGTAATTGAGATGCTAATTTCCAGCATACCAGAACCTATCTGGATTTGGTTTGCTCATTTGCACTTGGGTGGGAGCTGTGCCAACACACATTTACAGGGGTATCTGCTGCTCTCCCTGAGCTGGAATGTGCACAGATCACAGCAGAAGCAGAAGCTGCAGCTCTGCAGTTGCTTTAGATCTCCCACAGCAGGAGGTGGCAGCTTCTGCTGGGCTCAGCTCTGCCTTCAGCAGCTCTGGGCTCTAGGCAGGGCTGCCCAGCTGTTGTYCAAGCAAGATGCAGCTCTGCCCTTAGAACAGGCTCCCTTCTGCCCTTCCTGTCCATCGGGGCATGTTTACCAATCCTGGCCTTGCTTGGATGCCTGGACATAAAGAGCCACGTGCTCATATCCACCMGGCCTGGCAGTGGTTCAGTTTTGACCACAGAAGGATTTAAAGATGACAGAGATTACAGATGGGCTGGATTGGTGCAGAGGGACTGCTATAGAGCTTTGGCTTTTCTCCTGTAGCCCACCCTGTAGGATCAGGGCATTTCACCTAACAAATCGTTGGGAGATGGGACACTGCCATGGCCTCTGGCATTTTGTTCTTTCTGAAGARGAGCTGGTGGTGTTTTATACCAAGGGCTTGATGGAGAGGCAAGGAATGCATGAGAATGCTCTGGGGTTCTGCAGACACCTGTGTCCCTTGTGCTCCTGTGCTCCCACAGTGTGTGTGTGTCAGAGCAGATAACCCTGGCAGTGTTGTGCACGTTTCCATCGGGTGAGCTGTGCCATGTTGTGCTCCTGGCTGTTGGCAGGTTCCGGCAGTACTGTGAGGAAGCCTACCTGATCCTGCGCAAGCACGGCAACCTATTTATTACCCTCTTTGCACTGATGCTGACTGCAGGGCTGCCAGAGCTGACCTCTGTCAAGGACATCCAGTACCTCAAGGTAAAGTAACATCTACAGCTCACAAGGACTCAGCGTTTTGCCAGGATGTGAATTTCTTGTTCTGAGATAAATACATTTTAATTGTTTTCCATTTCTGTCAAGATTTCCATTCAGTCCTCAAAGCTTTGTTTTTCAGCTCTATAGAGCAAGGTCTGTAGTCAGTCCTAGTGCTCAAAGGATGAGTCARGATCCCTGTAGCTTAAATGGAATCATCTCAGGGGTGTTTTACATCTTGCTTCATACACAAGCATAGACCTGTAAAGGTGAAAATTATTTGCTTCATTCTTTTTCAGTTCTATCTTTAAACCCAGAAAGATGCATTATTTAAACCAATGTATGTATTGCTCAATGAATAATAAGTGAAAAAGTGTCAAGCCAGAACGAAATAGAATATGGCTTGTGTTGAAAGGTGAAGGAGACTCTGTGTTTTTTTTAAATACCTAACAGTACTTGTTTTCCTGTTGTCTTAGGACTCCCTTGCCTTAGGGAAGAGTGAGGAAGAGGCACTAAAACAGTTTAAGCAAAAGTTTGACGAAGCTCTGCGGGAAAGTTGGACTACTAAAGTGAACTGGATGGCTCACACTGTTAGAAAAGATTACAGGTCCTAGAAGATTGTGKCATTTGCACTAAGCTGAAGGTTACCTTGATAAGTGTTTGTAAAGGGTTTCTGTTGYATGGACCAACAAAACTTTGGGAAGCGTTGGGACAACGGTCTCAGGCACATGGTGGTTCTTGGGGAGTCCCAYACAGGGCAGAGGTTGGACTCTGATCCTGATGGGTCCCTTCCAACTCAGCACATTCTRKKATTCTATGGACTGATTCAGAACAAGAGAGGAAACAACAATGAAAACAAATGGACTGAATTGATTCCTGAGTCTTTTGCACTCTGCTTCTGAATGCTTGATTCCAAGACTGTCTCTACAATTAGTGAACATCCTGGATAATCAGTTCCTGCTGACTTTGCACGCTGAGAGCTACTAGGCATTTTTAAAAATTCTTTGGTACTTTATGGAGATGTAAATATTTGTTTTTATACGTTAGGGTAATATGCTCTAACATCTCCTCAGGAGGTTTGAAGACTTCTGACAGAACTGTTCTTTGTTTAAAGTTAGGACTTGAAGAGTACATTTTTTTTTTATATCCTAATCTGGCTAAAAATGAGCATATTGTGTATATTTTTCATATGACCTCTGCCCTACTGGCACAGATGCATTAATTCTACTGTAAATAGCAACCATGGTATCACTGTACTGCAGGGAGCTGCTCYGTGTCTCGTGCTGCTGCCGAAGGAAGGGTGGGTGTTTGGAGGGTGGGGGGAGACCTCTGAGAGTGGTGCAGCATCCAGATGTTCAGGGTTGCACAGTTTTGTTCCACTGGCTGAACACACAAAAGAAGCCTTTCASMRTGAGGAAGGTTAGGCCAATTCCAAACATGCCTGAGAATCCCTCACTGGTTACAGTCTCCCTCTCAGCCTCTGGGGCTTTGCCTTCCGCTCCCAGAGAGGCACAATTTGGTTTGGTTTCAGCAAGAAGCTCCTTCCAGCCTTACACTGAAATTYGTATCTCAGATCAGTCACTCCCTGCAAAATGTACTGACTCATGTAAGGGATGTTTTCAYTAAATATACTACACAAGTCGATTTTTAGAGCATACATACCAAAAACCCCAACTGTTTGGAAAAGCATGTGTTTATGGGAAAGATCATTCCACAGAACACCAATGCGAATTTTGRTCTTCTCTCTGTATTTATTAAAAGCTTGCAGTAATGTTGCTTTACCAAGATATATATGTTGAAGATGGTTGCTGAAGAAACTGGATTTGTTTTAATTTATTTAGTGAGGTACCAGGCTTTTAGGTGCTTAAATGGAGAGCAAATTTGTTAYGTGCAATAGGGAACTGCTGGTTAAAAGATGTAACAAACTGTTCCTGAAACATCAGCAAGAGAGGTTTTAACTACTGCTTGTTCTCCGAGGAACACTGGTAGCTCTTGATTCTTGTGGACATTTGAAAGAGAATTAAACATATATATTTACTTTTTGACTAAACAGTTGTTCTGCATAGAAATGTTGGATTATGTAGGAGTTTAATTAAAGTTGGTTTTACTTTGTTGAGAATGTTTTATTTTTGGTTGGTTTGGTGTTYCCTTGTTTCTTTYTATCTGGAGTCAGGGTGGCATTCTGTGTAGGGCATTGATTCTCTTGTCCTCACCCTTTGGGCTAATCTGTCKGAACAGATTTCTGCTTCTAGAATTTTCTAAAAGTAACTAGTACTGTGTGGGTTGGTTTTGTTGTGTTTCATTTTTGGGGATTTTATATACAATATAGTAGCATTTAAAGTGTGCCATGTCCCCTTTTTTAAAATTATTTCTATAGCAGATGGCAGGAAAGCTAAAAAGAAACTACGTTGTAGGTGACAGCTCTGCAAAAAGTAATTTCATCCTCAGATAATTCCCAGCATGTGAATTTGCATAAGGAGCTGTCCCTGGACGCATTATATTTTTCTGTGAGACAGCACTTGGACATCTCTTGTCTTGTTGAGGGAGACGTAACCTTCCCCAGAACTTTGAGATGAAGTTGGCGAGTGCACCTTGGCTGTGTGAGGTGGATGTGCTTGGAATCTGAGAGCAGGGAGCACGATGGCGTCTTTATTTCCTTTATTTCCACAGCCAAAAAGGGAACTCAGGTTCGTGTTCCAGTCCAGACTTCCTGGGAGACCTGGAATGGGTGGTTCAGTCTGTGCCTCAGGCTCCTCTCTGCAAAATTGCAGCTGAGAGCCTTGACCTCTGCATGTGGGAACCCCTTCCCTCCCTCCAGTGCCACCGGGATTACTGCAGAGTGAAGACCTTCTGTGCTGTTTGAGCGTTTTTTGGATGTGACTTTAATGCAGGTTATAAAAGTACTTGAGATGGTCAGAAAATCCCATTGCCTGTCTTCCTTGAGGAATGCTGAGATGATTAGGAAATGCTGCTTCTGATCAGTATTTGTGTTGGTTAATAGCCCTTGAAAGGCTGTGTTGTGTTTGTCTTTACCTGCTCTATGTTTACTCTTGGCAATTAATTAACAAGAATGGRGAAAGAAAGAGCTGTTAAATGGTCTGGTTTTGTGTTTGGCAGCAAAGACAATRTGCATTTTCCTTGTGTGAATCGATCTTGGTCTTCAAACAGCTGAGAAGAGATCCCATCTCACAGCAATGCTTTCCAGGCCGAGCTCTCASGGCTGAACCTGATGGGAAGCAGCATTTACCAGGTCACCAAAGTTAATTTGGTGATAGCTTCATGTTAAATTTTGAGCAGAGTCCTGCCTTGCTGAATTGTATTAGTAAACAGCTCACTTTCCCTGGTTTTCATGACACTTGCTACAGCCTGTGGCATACAGATTTCCATTCAGAAAATAAACAAGTAAAYAAATGAACTACTTTGTGAAAACTCAAAGGACAGGGAGTGTCCATCACTGTTTGTCATCCAAGAGAAGGCTGGAATTTTGGCACATCAGTCCATTGATTATTTCTGTACTTACCTCTCAATCCCAGCTCTAGTACTAAAATGGTAGGTTAACTTGGACTGATTCAGATCACATTGTTCTAGAACATTTTCAGAATTCAGAAGTCATCAAATGGTCAGATTATAATAAGAGAATTTAAAGATTTTGTGTTGAMCCTTCAGTTCACATGGTCTCGTGTTATGTTAATTACTTTTCTTTGTTTATGTCCACTGGAAAAATGAYTTTTCTTTCTCAAGGCCTTCATTGTACCTGGCAGAAGGAAAAGCTGCCTAGGTTGCTTTAAAAACCTCAGCTGAAATTTGGTATATGCAGTGTGTAAATGATCTTCCTTTGTTCTGGTTTATTATTGATTGCATGATTACCTAATGGGTTTGCTTTCCTTACCTSGAATCATTTGATTTGTTACTGTTACTGTGTTGGATTTCCAGGGAAAGAGCTCCCATGGATTTGCCCCTCAGCAGTGGAGCTGCTTCCTTTCCCTTTCATGCTTGTATTGGTTGTTTTGGCAGTGGTGTGTTGATTGTCRAGTCACTCACATTCCACCAAATGCTTTGGACAGAGCCCATTGCTGTATTTAATATAATAGCGTCCAATATTCCTCTTCAATCTCCTAGAGCTTTTGAAATGAGATAATTAAATAGTAGAAGCTCTTAATAATTGATATGTCAGGCTACATCATAGCTTTATTCTGTAGGATGATTTCAAGCCTAAATCTTTTAAATGTGTAATCAGTATTTCTAGTACTATTCTTTCACAATATATTGTATTAATGTAATTATGTGTCTGAGCCAGCCTTATAATCTAAACATGAAATCCTCTGGTAACATATAATAATTTTTTAAATGGCTTGTCTGGCATGAAACTGCCAAGAGCTGAGGGTGTAGAGCTGTTCTGGTCGTTGGGTGTCAGTGAGTGCTGCCAGGTGAGAGTACAATGCCCTGTTGCTGCTGGGCCTCACTGTTTTTGTGGGGCTGTGGGGTTTTTAGAGGCAAAAGGGCCCCATTGTGGAGTGGCTGATGAGATAAAAGCCAGGCCCAGCCCAGGGTRGTGGTTCTATTGCCTGACCTCCATGTCAGACACATGAACCTGGGCTGTGAACRCAGTTCCAAGCAGATCTCCACAGCAAATTTTGGTACCAGTCCAGGATAGGTGCAGTAATTTAACAGCTGCTGAGGAAACGCTGAGCACTGTCCGTGCTACCTCAGTGCACAATAAAAATGTTGTAGTTATTGTCCCCAAAGATGACTGACAGAGGACAGGGAGATGTTCCTGCCAGTGCTGAGAAGGGAATTGATTCACCCTGTCTGTGTTATCAGCTGTCCTTCAAACAGCACAGMACAACGGCACTAATTGAGGACAAGAGAGAGCTTCTCCCTTTAATGAGCTGGGTTTCACACTGCCATTACTTGCATGCCTTCCCAGTCTGATAGCCCACACCAGGAGCTGCTGTYCTTTAGCAAGCCACAAAGGAAATCCTACCAGGCAGATGCTGATAGAACTTTACTTGTTCTGTCCCCTCTGGAGCGCTTGGCTAAAGGCTCAGTCATGCAACGTGTTTTAACTGATTTCACTGTATGTGACTGGAGGATTTAACATGATTCTGTTGTGATGAACTAGGCCTTCATCCTTTCAATCTCTCACTGCTTTTCCTCAGGTGATTGTCTGAAGAAGCYTCCTCTGGATTGCTTGATGAAGAACAACAGGGATGAGTATCTATTTCATAGTAATGGCATGGCTTACTCTTGGGAAAGGTGTGAACGATCCCAGTTATAGAACAGCAGTCCCAGAGAAATGTGAAAGGTTAATTCTCGTTTGCCAGGCACCATTTAGCTTTTATGAAGCAGATGAAGAAGTGACCATCAAGCACCATGGAAATGGGRTTTTGGAGGGATTAAGGCCCTTGCAGCACAAGGATGTTCATAGGATCTAATTCTTGGCTTTRTAAGTCTGCATTTGTGCAGCAATTTGCTGGAAGTGTGCAGAAGCAGTGAAGGCTGGGCAGAAAGAAGGAGTCTGGTAATAGTTCATTCCAGTTTGTGAATCCTGCCTAAGGCTTTCTCCTACACAAGGTACCTAATGGGCTTTGCCCTGGGAGCTTTCAGCAGCTCAGTCTAGTTTCTGAAATGGTCTCTGTGTGTCTTGCATAAGGAGCATTGAGTATTTGACATTCCACAAAGGGAGCTGAGCAGTATTGTTCAAGGTTCTCCAGAGCACAGGAATGTTGTATATGTGGCTCTGAATTTCTTCTCTTGAAATTGTTTTCCTGAGGGGGTGGAAAACATGAGAATAGATGGCATAGCTCAGTCAAAGTATTCCCTAAGGACAGAAGAAAAKAAAAAATCTGGATTCCAGTCACCTTACCAAACATTCATTCAAACACAAATGGAACAGCTCCAAAAGAGGGGTGGGAAGGATGGAGATAGTCCTTTTCCCTATGGACTTGTGATTTTTGAATTTAGGAAAAGGAGAGATGAAACAAAGGTTCAAAGTTCCCAGCCTATGTACTGCTTGGCTGAATAGTTGAACCATTAATATTAATGTCTGTGGGAGAYTAAGTCTGTTTAGCCTGTTCCCTCCCAAAGAGCAAGGAATTAATCCTGCATATGGATTTATGCCCATTGGTATGGGAGGAAAAGATACATCTGTTACACTTGGAGTAATCTACACAGAGGCTGCTTTCACCCTTCACCTGTACTTAGGGATTCCACAGTGATAAATAGTCTTGTGCATGCCTGGACCTTACTGCCACCCACCCCTAGCCTGTCAGCTGGAGATGCATTATGCTGTTTTCAGAACTGCTTAAAACTACAGGTTTGGATTTTACAACCCAAAGAAGGCTTAAATGTTTGTGAGTTGTGGTTGTTGTTGTTCGTTTTAAGGCAAGGTGCTGGATCACAAGTGAGATGCTGAAAGCCTGTGAAAGTTTAGAAATTCTAGAAGGGAATTTGGATGTGATCTGCAATTCTGGTGGCCAGGACAGCTTTTGGAAGCCTCTTTCTCCCATAAAGTTRTATAGCTGAGCTAGTTAATTTAAAAATAAAATGTTTAATATTCCAGACCACAAAAAACACTGAAGCAAACAAAGGCGTTGCAAGTGTAACACACCCAGTGGTTCTGCATATAACAGTCACGCTTGCTTTTGCAGCTCAAGGGAATAATCTTGTTTCTTTGAGAGGAAAAGGAAAGCTCTGGAGAATATTTCTGAAACAATTCCCAGTCCTTAACAGCTGAGAAATTGTTAAGTTACAGATGTCTCTTTGCAGGGTTTGTGCTGGTTAAATGAGTGCAGGTGCTGTGTACAGACTGAGCTATGGAGCGGCTGCGTTGCTGAGGCTGCCCAGAGCTTGCACAGGCCCAGGAGCCGGTGATGGTGATGGCTTTAGCCTTTGGGATGGATGGCAGGGCCCCCACACGGAACTTTCATCACCTGCACAGTCACCAGAGCAGAGCTGCCACCCCTCCCGTGTCGTAGTGGTCGAGCAGGCTGTGGGCGATGAAGCCGCTCTCCGAGTGCAGGGTGCCGCATYTCCGGCACAGGAGGATTTCGCATTTCGGGCACATCTTCCCGGAGCGCGGCTCCCTCAGAGAGCACATTTCCTCCCGCGCCGGCTTCAGCCTCTTGGAGCCTTTCCTGTGTAAACACCTCCGCTTGTCTTCTGAAAGCTGGCTCCTTCCCTGAGGGCTGCAACAGTCACAAAGAGAGGTGACAAGTTCAGCCCGTGCGCTTGCCAGATGGAGCAGGGCAGCAGAAACAATTAGTGTGTGATTTATGAACCCTTCCACAGGCTCTACCTGTGACACCCTAACGGTGGGTGCAGTGTGTGGTCACCTGAGAGAACAGGGATGGGCACAGAAAAGGAGAGTCTGGCTCTGCTGCTGTGATGACAATGACAAACCATTCGTTTTAGAACACAGAATTATTAAAGAATTTTCATCATTTAAACAAAACCACAAAATAATTATGTCAGCTGACTGGGTAAGAGCTTTAATATGCAACTCTTCAATGCATGATTGTGGCATGAGCCTCGTGTTTGCATGGAGACAAATTCCATCCAGCTCTGTGTATTTGACCTGGTGCCCCCCTATATCATCMTAAAGGTTCTTTTTCCACTTGTGTGCTCTCGCAATGCACACTAATGCTGGCCAGTAGATC